TTCCCTTCATAACTGTAACACAGGGACATACTGGAAGATCTATAAATATATTTTATTTGTTTCAGAGGACCATCAAAAACAACAATTGTACAAGAAAATGAGGAATTGCAGCATCACAAATGGCTGAATCTGCACTCAGATTGGAAGAATAAAAATGCATCCACTTTACATGCACTTCTAGTGAATGGGTAAGAAACAGTTAATGAAGTTTTATTTCAGTTTCGTGGATAGTCATGTATCAGTGAAGGATGACAGACTCTTTTTGGTAAGGTCTATTTTTCTAAGGTATCTGCATATAAAGCCCAGTATATACTCATGTGACTTGTTAAGATGCAGTCTGTGATGATTTTAATGTTTATTAGAATTGTAGTCTCTTTTGGGTTAGCCTTGTGAATCCTCAGGCCCTCATTCTGCAAGTCTAACAGCAATTCACTGCTAGGGAGGGGAGGCCCCTGAGGCACCTTGACCAGACAGTTTCATTAAATCCCTGCTGACCAAGAAAGTCCAGTAAGTAATATATAGCAAAACCCGAAGCAATATCTTATCTCCCTCTTTGGCCCCTGTAGTTTGGGTTCATACATCTGGACAGTCTACATCTTCCTCAGCAGAAGCTATATCCACTTACAGCAGGTTTCCTTAGCAGCTCTTCTTGCTTCAGACGTTGGTCTATTCCTTTTAATTAACCCTACTAAATAGGGGGTTGCTAAATGATAAGCCAGGCTTCAGTCATGGTTGAGACATTCAAAGTGTGACTATCACACTAAAGAGCCAATGAACTCATTCAAGCATTGAGAACAAAACTGTGCGAGAGCCATCTGTGACTGCATCTGTGACTCTGTTCTTCAAAAAGTAAATGATGTTTCCTCTTTAAACTAAAAAGCCTAGAAAGAGATTTCAGAACAGACTTCCAAAACATCCTTCCTCCATAGAAAATACTTCTGTTTCATAAGAAAAAATGTCTTGGCTAAATGCAGGTGGCAGAGGTACAACACATGCATGAAGAAGCAGATCTGAGGAACACACCTACTTTTCTTTTGTAATGATCTCTTATGATCTGTAGGGATCCTTTTCTGCAGTGGCTGATTTATTCAGCAGATGAAAACTGAATGAGGTTGTGTCTGCAAGTGTCTACTTATGCTTTCCTACATATCAGTTTTGTAGTAGTTTTGTTTTACGTTAGTATTTTGCCCATTCATTTAAGTTAATTTGTATCTATTAATCTAGAAAAAGGACCGTTAGTAGGGTGATTCCTGATACTTCAAAATGTTATTGTTATCTCTTAATTTTCCTCTCTCTCAGTCTCTTTCTGCTAGCCTAATGGTATCTAGGTGCTTTTCTCTAGACTAATACAATAATAAACATCCTAGGCTGTTACCAGCTGCAAAGGGGGGTTCGTGAGCATGTTGTGTTAGGTTATTAAAGCGCAAAGCAAGAATTTCAAGGTGCTTTGCCACATTTGAAAGTGGTCAGCTGTGATATATCTGCGAAGGGCTAGATTGGAGCCTCTGAGTTACTTGACAGAAGATCTAGTCTCACCTCCAGTGCAAGTTAAAGCAGAGAAAACATCAGTAATGTGGATAATTGATAAAGCCGTTGCAGAGATGAAAGTAACACGTAGGAACAGATGTTCCAGTTTCCTAGAATCTGAAAAATGGGTAACAACAAGGTCAGAAGCTAAGGTCTTGTATGAAGATTGAGGCCATTTTCTTTTTGACTGTGTCAGGCTGCCTGGACCTCACTGGCTGTGGGCAAGCTGCAGAGCAGATGCACCTACAGTCTGATCTCCCAGGTGTCCAGCTGGAGTAGAGGGCATGCTGGGGCACATCATGGCTTTCTCTCTTCTCTCATGCCTGGCTTTCCTTCCAGTACAAAGCAAATTTTGCAGGGGATAATATGCATTTGGTCCCTTCCCAGCACGAAGCTAAGACAGCTCAGGACCTGGGAAGTGCCCCTGAGCGCCACAGTCTAGGTATATTCATCTGGATCAACTTCAGCATGTAAAATGTCTGTGCCAGAAACTTTGGCAAAAACCAACAAATAGACCAGTATTTTCACAGAAGTTTGTTGAGCAGGTATATCAGAATGCAGGCATTGTGCACAAAACAGCTTATAATCTTTTAGGAGACTGGCTATTCCATCACAAGTCAAAGAAACTTCCAGAGAGGGGAGTAATTATTCTCCTGAGTGTGGCTGTTCTGTTATCTTCTGTATTTTTTTATGCAATGTAAATGCTCCTCAGAATTGTTTTCAGTCAAATATCATTTGTGAAGTTGGCTCCATGGGGCTCCAAGAACAGAATTTTATTGTCAGTGTTTTTCAGGCTGAAGAGGAACAGAGAATAGGCTGATTTGTACAGTATATGAATGGGCTATCCGGAATGTAAGGAGCAGGGGCCTGGCCAAAACACAGATCCAGGCCTGAGTCCTTGGGCTAATATGGTGAGCTTATTGACTCACTGATGTTGTGCCCACATTAGTACGTACTTACACTGAGTGCAGCCTCTCGTTAAGTAGTTGTAACTTTAAAAGTACTGCCTACCTGCTAAAATTTCAGCCTTCCAAGAATTACCTGGGGAATAGCTAATCCATGCATACGGTCTAACTCAGCTCTGCATCTGCTTCAGAAAAGCACATACATGCCACAAATTAAAGAAGTGGTGGAAATGGTGGTGGTGGAAGTAAAAAGGCAATCAGATAGTTGAGCCACAATGTTCTCCGTTTTAACAAGGATACCCCTTCCTTTAACATAAGAATCCATTCTTTCCTTTCGCACTTGAAAATTTTCAACAGAAGTGATTACTTTCTGTTGTCTTAATACCTTTGCAAACTTCCGGGGCTTTCATCAAAGTACCCCAGCTTTTAGGGCGAACATTTTCATCAAAGATGGTCCACGGAAAATTCTATCCTTCAGCTGTAAGGAAGAGGAGAACAGCAATCTCTGTGCTTTCAGGTGCCATAAATTAAGAATTGACAGAAAGTACCTCTCAGCTGACCTCAGAGCTGGATCAGTGCCCAGAGAAAGAGGTAGTCTGCAAAATATGTAGCACCCAGTCATGAAGTGCATTAAAAAGCTGAACTAATATTTTGAATTGTCTCCAGGCAGACACTGGGAGATGTTGATGTTTCTGGTATGAGAAAGTCCTTGTGTTTCTTTATACGGTTTGGGGGTATTTTAACAGCTGATTCATAGCAGCAGCTACATTATCTGTGCTGATATGCAAATTACCAAAAAGTACATCAACTAATTGAGATTTCCATGATGTTATTGTTCCAATATTTAGGCAGATGTGTCGAAGCAGCAGCAAAGTGTCTCTTCTTTGTACTAAAGAAGGTAAGAGAAACGTATATATCAGGGAAAATAGGCAAAGTGAATTGTATATAGGCTCTTAAGACAAGATATGTTAAAATACACTTTAAAAAAATGCAGATACTTAATGTGGGTTCATTCTGAAGTCCCACTAGACCTCTGCAACCTCCAGTTTTGCATTGCTTTTTTTTCCTACTGCATTCAGTTTCATCAGCTTTTCTGTCTTTTGCAGTAGATTGTCAACTGCAGTAGCCTAGCCCGGCTTTCACTCCCACAAAATGAATTCTGTTAGCCGTCAGGTTTCAGAAATTAATTTTGCTGAAACTGCTTTGTTGCCAAAAATATTCTTTACCACCAGAGCGGTTAGCAGGCTATTTACCTGGAAGTTTAAGCTGTGATCTGTTTGTGGCTGTGAATCTCAAGGGAAAGA